ATGACTTCTTTGAACTTTCTATCGGCAGTGAGACGAGCCTAATTGTCAAAGCTATCCAGAAGAATGACTTCCTGAGCCGGTTAGATGATGAGCAAATAGCCATGATGGTGGACCTGTTAAAGGTATCTCACTTCAATCCTGGAGATGAAGTCATTCAGGAAGGCTCTGAAGGAGACAGCATGTACATTGTGGCAGGTAGGCACACACCTTAGTATGAATGTCTGTCTTTTTATCTGCGATTGCTCCATGTATATACGGAAGATTTTTAAAACTGGGTTATTAACTTCTTACAGCATCATTTCACAAATAAGCAAATTTTAATATCAATTTTTTTTGCCCTTTCTTTATAGCTGGTGAGCTTTCTGTGAGCCAGTCTGGCCGTGACCTCCGAACTCTAACTAGTGGTGATGTGTTTGGAGAGCTGGCGATTCTCTACAACTGCAAAAGGACAGCAACAGTCAAAGGTCAGCCTGTATAATGATGCCTCCTGGAGGGTTTTGCAGAGGGTTGTAGTGACTGTATTATATAGTATAATGTAATTTATGTGGAGACATGTATGTATGTATAATATATGACCACATATGTTCTACAAATGAGATAATGGATGAACATTTTGACAGAAATACATAGCAGTGCATTGGAGGAAAACTGCCCAGCATGTTAACAACAAAACGTCAACCTAACTCTAGAGCATGGTGGGGAGAATATCATAGTTTGCTTTGGTATTTGGACACATTATAGTCACTGAGGGGAGAACAAACTGACTAACAATAACACTTCTGAAAAAGATAGAAACTCTTATTTTGAAAGGAACCAAACAGTATCCTGATTGAAACTGGTTTAGTGTGGTTTTGGGACTGGTTGTCCAAAATCCCCAAAATGGATGCAGAAAACATTTGAAGGAGGATGTTGCTGCTTATCACAAACGCTTGGAGTCGCATTTTAATCTAATGAACATGCCTTGTGCTATGAAAGTTAGCAGCTTTTTCGGACAATGAAATGTAAAATGTGACAAAACCAAAACAATAACATAACTTAACTAACATAACAGTGACAGAAAAAAATAATAGCTTTTTAGTCACAGTAGTTTTGTAACAAAGGTGCCTGATTCAGTGTAGAAAAAACAGAGTGTTCAAGTACATCCCTTTACAATGCAATCCACCCGTGGGAAGGCAGTTTTCTCCCATCTGCAGCAAGCTTGTCTCTCATTTATCTCACTTTGTCATATGAGTTCTGCGATGGTAATAGAGTGCATCTGGCTATGGTTTTATGTCATTTATTTCAGATTTCATCTATTACATCTGAACAGTATTTGTGAATTTTCAATCAAACCAAACCCCAATAATTTTAAAGGTTCAATCAGTTTTTGTTACAGTTGTAGTTAAATTAATTCAAGAGTTCAAATGTCTTAATCGTAAAATATGCTTCAAAGTTAACTGAGTCCACTACTCTTTTTATTTTTGTTTATTTTTATCTCTATTATTGTGCGCTCATATTGCAGCAAAGACACCTGTGCATCTGTGGTGCATGGAGCGACAGACCTACAGAAGCATTATGACCAACAAGTCCAAGAAGAAACGAGAACAGCTCATGGGCTTCCTGAAGACGTGAGTTTCTAGACTCTGCAGCCATGATAAAACTTTCATCCCGACTCCTCGGATTCTCTTTGTAACTCTATCATAACAGTTTTGGTATTTTTCGCTTCCCCTATTTCTAATTTTCTCGTAAATTCCCACTTGCCATTTCAGGGCCCACACTCTGAAGGACCTGAATGATGTCCAGTTGTCCAAAATCATTGACTCCATGGAGGAGGTGTGCACCTCGATGTCTTTTTTTGCTACGACACAACAGAATCAAATACACTGAACACAAGGATGTTTTCTTTTAGCTCTTGGAGTGAATCTGAAAGTACACATTTTTCTTAATATAATTTTTAATTCTGTCTCTTCTAGGTGAAGTACCAGGACAAAGATGTTATAGTTCGAGAGGGAACAGAAGGAAACGCATTCTACATCATCCTCAAAGGAGAGGTAACGATATCTTAACGTGCGTCTTTGGCCAGTCACACCCAGAATTTTTATCCAGCCTATTTCACAAACTCATATTTCTCTTGTGTGCATAACATTTATTCTTTCCGTTTGTTTGCCTGTGTGCGTGTTTCCCCTTCAGGTGTTGGTGACTAAGAACGTGAACGGTCATCAGAAGCAGATTCGCAGGATGGGAAAAGGGGAGCATTTCGGGGAACAGGCCCTCATACGGTAACCATGGAGACACAACACATGCCTGAGGACATTTGCGAGAGCCTCGTGCAGCATGATGTGCTCCTCGCGCCTTCCTCAGCTGCTGTCAGCTGTGACATTTTTTATTTTGCAGATTCTTCAGATTATCCTCCGAATGCTCTCTGGTGATGGAAACATCACGTTTTTCCCTAAATTGCACAGTTCTGCTAAGATGCAAATGAGCCATTGAAGCAAATTTATTGCTGTGGCTGTCAGTAGAGGTGCATGCATACAGAAACACTGTGTGTGTGTGTGTGTGTGTGTGTGTGTGTGTGTGTGTGTGTGTGTGTGTGTGTGTGTGTGTGATCCTCTGGTGGAATAACAGAGGTTGTTTTGATTATACAAGGAGGATATTGGATTTTTAATAAATATCAAATATCATCTAGCTTGTGTTGTCTGCCTCTAATTTGCAGGACATGCAGCACCATCGCAATTTCACTGGGAATTATTTTTCTCAAAATAATGCAGTACTTTTTCACATTGCATATTTTTTAATCTACATATTAGTATTTGCTAATATATGTTATTCAATTAAAATATCTCTATGAGGTTCTCTTTCTGCAGCTGTATTCACTGCATTTCCACAGACTTGAATTTTGGCAATGCTTTTTGTCTTGCAGCGAGGTCTTGAGGACAGCAACCTGCACTGCCGACGGCCCTGTTACCTGCTTCTCCATTGACAAGGAGTGAGTCTGACCCAGCACTCAATTCCGACAGTAACCGAATGTGATAGTGTGTTCGCTCAGGCTCTGCAGTGACAGCTGTTGCTCCTGGAGAGGACAATTCTTCGGTTGCTTTACAGTGTGTTCGCTGTCTGTTGTGTTTTCCCACTTGCTTACAGATGCACA